AGCTAACCGAAGGATCGGCTGAAGCTACGGCTAGATCCTTCGGCTGCTTCGTGAATAGACCCCTTAGTGTCACTGAGGACATCATGTCCTCAGCAATCTTCCCCCACTCACACACAATTCCCCGGGCTTGGGCAGGGTGAAAAGTACCCCTGGATGCCTGCTCCATTGCTTTCTCCTCCGCTTCACTGTTGACACCCCAACCCTGTGTGACTCCTGTCCCCCAGGCTAACCAACTACAGAACAGCATGGTAGTTGTATAGGCTCTTGGCTGCTTGGGGGGAACTGGTGGTTCTAAAGAGTCCCAACACCTAATGATGAAGCAATTGAGGAGGAGGATATAGAGTTGAGTGAACTGTCACCATCACCAAGTTGCAGTACATGGGGCAGCAGCCTCAGTCCCACCCATGTGCCCCATTCAGGATCCATCCTGGCTATGAGAAAATGTACCCACTGTGCCACGAAAGAGATGTAACATGCATGCCCATGTTTCCTAGATTAAATGTCTGTGGTCATATGGAGCCTGCCACTGACTGGGCGGTCCAGTGGCACAGAGACTTTAGCTTCCAAATGCTGGTGGAAGGCAGGGATGGCCTTCTTGGGAAAAAATGGTGACTTGATACCTGCCACTGTTTCACTAGCTGGAATGGGATAAGCTATAAAGCCAGCAATTTTTCCAAGCTGGCAATGAGCTGCTGGACATGGGGTGATTGGGTGAATATTTTTTCTTATGCTCCTGCAGCTGTTGTGTTGGGATTAGGAGACTTATGGCAAGGTTTAACTCTACTCTTGGCCTTACACTTCAGTTCCCTGCTGACCCCTTTCTCTACGTGATGTGCTACCTAAGGTAAGCCTCTTAGGTTGATAGTCCTAAAAAAGACTGTTGGGTCTATTTACTGTGAATACAAACATAGCACAAAGCACTATAAAGCATAGTAAATACAGGGGAAGGGGGTAAACTCCACACTTTGTAGCTCACCACTCTGCAATTCACTGTTTTGTAGCATAATACAGCACAGTATATAGCACTGCATAGTTCTGTATGCAGCACTATATAGCACTATACAGCAGTAATTACCTCTCCCTGAAAATGCTATCAGCTGTCCCTATCTACTCCAACTCCACATACCCTCTGACAGAATGCTGTAGGGCTTCTGTGTTACCTGAACCCAGTTCAAAGGCCAAGAATTGCATGATTGGTAATTGGTTGCTTTGGCAGCAAACAATCCCATTGGTATTTATATTTTTTCACACAAAATTCAGACAACATTCACACATTTTCAAGTGCAATTCATTGTGAAAATGTGTGAATCCTGGGATAAAGTTGTGTGAATCTTTAATGAAACATTTATGAATAGACCCCAAAAAGAGATAATGTATGCTCTAGTTAAACAACTCTTGAAACAAGGTACCACATAGCAGTATATGACAGACTGAGAAAACATCGGCTATACTTGCAACTCTGTGACCTTGTAGGATAGCTACTAAGGTTGAAAACAGAGGTTTTTGCACAACTTATGCAAAATATGTGGAAGCCGTCAAAGACCCTCTGTATAGTGCAGTCCTTATTCTAATCTAGGAGATCCTCCATCTTAGAGCATATATATAGCAAAGAATATATAGCAAAGAATAATTTGGGTGCGGGTTTGCCAGAAGGCAGTCCAACCTCCGTAAAGGCACAGGGGACACACCAGAAGCCCTGCAGGTCACAATGGCAGCTGAAGCCCCTAGTGTGCCCCCACACCAAATCCAACAAGTGAAACGAATGGCAAACGCACTCATTAATTCATAACTAGCTTTATAGCAAGGTGCACATGGCAGGGCTTTACACAGTACAAAAACTTTTTTGTACTGTGTAAAGCCCTGCCATGTGCACCTTGCTTTAAAGCTAGTTATGAATTGATGAGTGCGTTTGCCATTCGTTTCACTTGTGGGATAGCTGGCACAGAGAAACAATAAAGATTGCTTGTTCTGCTTAAACAGTTTTACTCTTTGCTGACACTTGTAGTCTCTTGAAGTAGAATAATGCCCTAGCACACAATCCTGAGATGTACAAGCAGAAAACATACTAACTTATTTATAGGGAATCTGTAGTGATTCTGTATATATTTTCTTTATTTATTAATGTTCAGGACTTAAAAATGTTTTGCAATTTTTATTTCTTTAGTTAGGTAAATATGAATGTTTCATATTTTCTATTTTCCAGCAACCTATGATGTTCTGCAGATTTTCCTGCATATTTATCAGGCTAACTTTAAAGTGTATCTAAACCCAAGAACAAATGTTTAATAGATTGAAGCTTACCCGTTTTAGATGTTGTGGTTGCATTAGTTATCTTTTTGAGTCTCTTTTTCTTAATTTTAACCTGGTGGTTCATGCCTAGGGATGCACCGATACCGACACTAGTGCGGATACTCGTGCTCGCCTAAATGCTCCTGATGCCTATCCCGATATGGGAACTTCCAGTCTTCCTGATTGGCTGGGAAGCCGGCTCCATGCTCCCTAGTCATCTGGTGATGAAGGAGCAAGGAGTCCTGGCTTCCTGGCTATTCGGAAAGCCGGGTGGCGAATAATTACACACCACCTGGCTTCCCGGCTGATCAGGAAGCCGGGCGGCGAGTCATTACATGCCCCCTGGCTTCCTGATTGGCCAGAAAGCCAGGTGACAAGGAAGAATGGAGCCGGCTAATCAGGAAGCTGGGCGGCGAATCATTACACGCTGCCTGGCTTCCTTAATGAGACTTTTGGTATCGGTGAGTACCATAAAAAAATATCGGTACTCGTACTCGATACTGAAAAAACAATATTGGTGCATCCCTAGTCATGCCACACACTTCTTGTCCTAGGCTGCTCTTCTGATTATAAACACCTTCCCTTCTCCTCATCTCCATAACATACAGGGCAGTCCTTAGAGTTAGCTAGGAACAATATAACTGAAAATAGTGTAGAGATTACAGAAAGTTATTGACTCACACGATTTTTGGCAGGATCAACAAGTATTTTTTTTTGCACATAACATAAAGTTTTATTTAACAGACCAAAGGGGACAATAAAAGAGAAGTTCAAAGTTAGGGTTTACATACATTTTAACTGCTTTGCTGACTTGTTGCTTAAAGGGAAAAAGAGCTGAAGTTCAGAATATACACTGAGGGGTCTATGCACTAAACTGCCGTAGGCAGCCGAGTGAATAACCGACCCGAAGTGAGCCGAACGTTGTTCGGCTATTCATTTCAGGCTTGTATGGCTGATTTCAGCCATACATCGGCTTGCTTCGTGTGGCTTCGGGTCAGCCGAACATGCTCAGCATGCTCTGTGGTACCGAGCAGAATAGAAAAACAGTTAAAATAGTAGAAAAATAAATAGGAAAAAAATTGTAGAAAAAATAAAATAGAAAACGATTGGGCGGAGCTAGCAATTGACAGCTAGCTCCGCCCAACTGTTTTCTATTGGCAGGGCGGTTCTGCTGCCATCAGAATAAAAAAAAAAAAAAACCCATAGGAATGCATACACTGTAGCTAGATTTCTATTGGCTATTTCACTTTGCAATAGCCAATAGCAAACTAGCTAATGCACCCGCCCTCTGCTGCTGTCAATCACTAGAGGGGACCTGATGGAGAACTTCAGGTCCTCTCTGCTGATTGACAGCAGCAGTGGGCAGGTGCAATAGCTAGTTTGCTATTGGCTATTGCAAAGTGAAATAGCCAATAGGAATCTAGCTATGCATTCCTATGGTGTTTTTTTTTATTATTTTTTTTTTCTGACAGCAGCCAATGGCTCCGATGTCAGAAGAAAAAAAAAAAGATAAAGCGGGAGACTGCCGGAGCGTCCGGGAGAGTTGGGCTAACTGGAGATCAGCGTCCCTGGTTACCTGGTAACCAGGGACGCTGATCTGTCTGTGCAAGTGGCCGGAGCCAGCTGTGAGATGACGGCTCGCTCCGCCTAGCAGTCAGTAGCTGTTCGGCCAGCTTCTCCTTTCACCTCGGCTCAGTTGAGCCGAAGCATATGCCTTCGGCTCGACTGAGCCGCTCGAGCCAACTTCGGGAGCTGTAGGGCTATAGTGAATAGCCCCTACAGCAGCCCTTCGGTTCTACTGAACCGAAGGGGTCCTGGGGCCAAAGCTAGCCGAAGGATCAGCCGAAGCTACGGCTAGATCCTTCGGCAGCTTAGTGAATAGACCCCTTAATATACAATTAAGCTGACCATACATATTTTGAATTTCTCCTGTTCAGCCTCATGGCTGAATGAGAGAATTCCATGGATTCCACTATTAGCACTAAACAGAGTGAATGGAGGAATCCCTGCTGCTGTCTAATGAGTTCAGCAGCTGCTGTTCCGAATGGCAACTGGGCCACCCCCGGCTCCAATTTCGGCTGATTCAGCAGGAATCGGATGAAATTCAAGCAGTGTATGGCGAGATTTAGCTTAATGAGTTGGAGGAGTGACTCATCCCCAGACCTTACACACTCCTTTGTTTGTAATGCTCAATGTAGACGTTTCATTAGAGACAAGCAGTCTGAAAACAAGGAGCTACTGCTGTGTTCTCTACAATGTTCTGTAAAATCTGTGACATGGGTGAGCTGTGTATTAAATGTTTATTTGTAAAATAAAGATATATAAATAGTAAAACAAGTTTAGGACTTAAAGAAAAACATTATAGAGGTGTCTGGAAGTGGCAGGGAGGTCACATCTACTAAACCTGAATAAAGCATGGTTTTTAGAAGTTCACAGGCCCAGTAGACCCTCATGCTGACCTCTTTGTAGTGGCTCTGATGCAAGGCCATGGCACAAGATATGCAACAAAATACTTATGCATGCGTAACAAAATGCAACAATATGTGCCACACTACATATTGTTGCACTTTGTTACACTTTGTGTTATGTTTTTGTACTGGAATTAGTGCCCGCAGCTAATTAGTGCCCGCAGTAAATTCAGGTATCGTGTCCCAAGCTCGATATTTGTAGGCTGTAACATTTGTAAGTTAAACTTACAAGGGCTCATTTACACTCTCAGCTGAGCGAAATTTATCTTCACAGCCATTCTCTTTGAAAATGATATGGGGCACCACACCAACAGAAAACTCTTGGCCCTTTACATAACTATAGGTGGGTCGAGCCAATATAAAAAATGTTTTATAGCGATGTCTAAACTCTGGACAGGAATCTGTCAGGTAAGCAATGTGGGAGCCTACACTGTTTACATAGATGCATATTCAGAGGATATGATCCTATTCCTGGCATCATTCCTTGATGACTCCTTGACCTGGGACACGTTTTGCATGTTATGTGTTGGGACATATGATATAAAAATACTTGCTTTCAGTAAGCAACTTGTTAAGTGGTAAAGCAAAGTTAAGCATGACAACCCCAAAAATGCAATCTGAAAAACCATCAGAAATGGTATCTCCTTTTTAAAGAAATAAACAATGCTGCAGGCAACTAATATCTTTCCCAGCAGAGAGAAATAAATGCTTTTTAGATGAATCACTATGGAATTAGATTGCACTCGATTCCCTGTTCTATTGGGTAGCACAATAACATGATTTTCTATGGCTTTATTCATTCACTTTTTCATATCTAACTTTAGCGTCTGACCTATAATTAAAAAAAACATGTTAAAGATCTAACGAATTACATACATTTTATAGGCAAACATCGGTGTAGAAAATCTTTGTTGTGGTAATAGAACCATTTCCTATGAGATCTTTATATGTGCACGTATTCAGTGTTAGTATTTAACCAAAACGTTTTACTGAGTGATGGCAAAACAGATTTTGTGAAGATCAGCTTGTTTTTCTCTAGTTTTCTTTAGAAAGTTCAATCTGTAAAATTTGCTACCACCTAGAAAATGGAGACATAGTGAAACCCCTCTGCATTCTGATGCAACATGTGACCACAACCCACAACACTTCCTTTTTGATAACACCTACCACTGACATAAATGTGTAAGACAACATACAGACATGAGATGTTAGTCTCAACTTGATCTTGCTGGAAATGAAAGTATACATATGACTACTATAACATTCACAGACACACCTTGACTGACTAATCTTAAAACTCCAGCTAAAACTTTTAATTTTGTTTTCGAAACAAAGGCAAGGGGGTTATAACTGCTATAGGACCCGCATAGCCCACCATAAATCCACCATTGCCCACCTGAGAGTCCGCACAGCCCACCAACAACCTGCGCAGCCCCCCATGGACCCCGCATAGCCCACCTAAGAGTCCGCACAGCCCACCATAGAACCTGCGCAGCCACCTGGGTGTCTGCACTATTCCTCTAATTGCCATTATTGTTCCTAGACTTCTAATTTGAGAGCTACTTATTAAGTTATTACTAAGACCAGCAATAATCAAATGCAGAGGCAATTATGTAATATGATAAAGAATTTATATATTTATATAGTCTTACAGATGCAACCGGGTCCTTTAGGGCAACCATAATGCTGATGCGGCCCGCGATAAAATTTAGTTTGACACCCATGTACTGTAACTTCAATACAAATTACATCCCTAAATGTTAGATTGTAGTCCATAAGGGGATTGGGTTTGGAGCGGAGGCTACTTTACAACACACATAGGGAGCATAGGGAACAAAAGTAAACACCCTCCAGAAGGAAGGACAGTGTCAACATGAATTTGAATCATTGTTGACACTGTCCTTTCAGAAGGAAGGACAGTGTCAACAATGATTTGAGGAACTAAGGCTGAGTATTGCAAAAATAAGATACATTTTCGTAGTTCGAACTACGAACATTTCATGTTCGTAGTTAAGGTACTTGAAAGCATTTTTAAGATTTAAAGTAGAATTAAAGTCTAATGTTTTTGGCATATATTTACTGCTAGTAAGTAGTTGGATATACAGCATGTCCCAACATAAAAAGAAAGTTGGCAAATACCAACAAACTTACATGTGTCAGCGCCGCTCGCTCCCGCTGCAGAAGTCCCGACTCAGGAACGCTGTGAGGGATGAAATGTGGGCGGGCGCATGCGCAGTTCTGAACGTCAGAGGGGAGAGGTGGAGAGCGACACATTGACGACACATTGACGATGCTAAAGCCTGATGAAGGGACCCTGCATGGCCCCCGGAAGCACTTGTTGTATATGACAAGGAACTTCAATAAATGAACATTTGCTTATCCTAAGAAGGACTATGGTGTGCTGGTGACATCTCTACACAATTGCTGATATTTGCGGCGCCGTCCGCCCTACTACAAGGGATTTTTCGGTAAGGAGTGCAACAAGGAAAAGTATTTATTGACAGAAGTTGAATGGATGCAGCCAGGTGCTGGGAGTGGGCACGTCGGACAGATACTGCGGGACCAGAGGAGTCTGCAGTGGATCAGAGACTGGACCAGCGCTGGCAGGACTTTGGAAAGAGTGGAAGGAAGAAGCTGTTCGCATAAAGAGGCATCGCATAAGGTAAGTCCTTAAAGCAGTAGGGGGGGGGGGGGGGGGG